CATAGCCCTTCTTCCATCTCGATCCAAACCGTCCACCCCTATGCCATTGTGATCACCAATACTCATGGTCTTGCTTAGATCACATGGCATGATATCTTTTGAAACCATTGAGGTCAAGACAACATCATGCCCCCTAGTTAATCTCAACTACTCCTAATCATACCCTATTGCCAATCACCATCATCCATTATCTTGTCATGAGGGGTATGGTTCATACCTTAGCAAGAATATAAGGGTTGGCATGATTAGGCCACATTAATAGCCTAGCGGTATCAATAGTGATTGAAGCTTACAAATGGTGGTAAGATCCTCATATCGAAACCTACTAACTCCTACTCAAACTTGCCACTTTGATATTTTTAAATATATAGCCATGATTGGCTTTTCTATAATAATTAATACTTTTTACATATAATATGTAGTTACATGCATCATTGATCTCCATACCCTTTGGCAACAACCAACGTGCCAAATGCATACACCCATTTCCAAGTCCACGGATCAAACCAAACAAGCCAACCATACACCATATGGCCATGGTTGTTCCAAGGAGATGATTCATCACAAGTTGGCTTTGCATCACTCCCTTCACCATTTTTCCCCTTCTGACCCCTACCATTACTTTGGACTTGGACATGCCCTTGTCAGACACTATTATTTTGGGACCTATGGCCATAGAGTTGTCTACCTAAATACTAGCATGACCATCCTCATTTTGTTGTGTTGGTCTCACCATCTCACCAGGTACTACTGGGTATTGTCCCTTTCGTGCTTTAGCATTCTTACGTAGGAATCTCCTCCTTTGAGTTCTTTTCATCCCCCCAATAGCTACTGGTTGTTAACGATGCATATCATAAGTATGCCCCCCTCCTTGTGGCACATTGGGCATCTTGAAAGTCCTTCTCATGGGAAAAGAGTCATGTGCCACTCATTGCCTTCTTTGCCCCCAAGCTGGTTGAATGACCCCCTCTACTAGTCTTTGATAAGGTGGATATCTCGGCCTACGGGGTGGGTCAACTCTTTGTTGGACTAGTCGATTTGGTCTCACTTCACGAAGTCTTAGACTCCTTTTGCATTGGGCACATAACTTCTCCACCTCACTTGACACCTTAGAAGCAGCCGAATTGGCCTGCCTACCCCTCGATGACTCCCCCTGCTCGAACACCATGGTGGGGGTCCCTTGTTGCAGTGTTGTATCCAACACCAGCTTGAAACGGGAGAGCTCAATTTTGGAGAAATCTGGGTTAACCATGTTGACACTAAGCAAGTTGGGGAATGGGTTAGTATCCACCAACATGGTATCTTTCTTCGACTTTGAGAGTTTGATGCGACCATTCTCAATGGCATCCTGCAATACATTGCAAAAAACCACACATGAATCAGTGGAGTGTGACATGCTATTATGCCACTTACAATATTTTTTCCCTTTTAACTTCTCAGGGGGTGGGATGTTATGCCCCCCTGTCAACTCGATTTGACCATCTTTGTAGAGTTGGTCAAATATCAAGTCGACTTTAGAAATATCGAAGGAATACTTTTGTGGCTGGATGGGGGCACGATTTGGTCTACCCCCTTGTGGTTCATTGTCAATCTTATTCAAAGGAGCACATACATATGACTTCCTTGGAGTTAACTCAGCCAGGTCTACCTCCATCTTGTTGGCATCTTGGCCAATATGGTTAACAGGGTAGCCCATGTTGGGGAAGTATTGCCCCTTGAGGCACTCCTCATATTCTCCTCTTCTTGAAGAAGAGATTCATATCTCACCGCACAAGACATGAGTTGGAACAAGTCAGATAATTCCCTATCTTGGAATTTCTTCCGTAGCTCAAAATTCAACCCCCCTTGTGCTAACTTGACAAACTCTCTCTCTGTCAGATTGACAAAGCAATGGTTACGAGCATTCTTGAAGTTTGTCAAGAAATGTTCCACCGACTCCCCTGGCTCTTGGCGCATTTGTGCCAAGTCAGCCATGGAAACCTCACGCTCAGATCTATAGAACTGAGCATGGAAGATTTGCTCCATTTGCCGCCATGTCTGGACGGAGTTGGATGGCAAGTTGGCATACCAAGCAAAAGCAGGTCCTGTCAATGAGTTGCCAAATACTCTTAACTTAATAAAATCTCCTACATCCCCACTAGGGATGGCAACAAAACTCGAACCCACGGGTACCCACCCGACCCAACCCGGTCAACGCGGGTAAAATCCGTGTTGACGGGTTTTGGGCCGAGTTTGGGTTTAAACCCGTTCACTATTCACCGGGTTGGGTTGGGTTTGGGTTTAGGTAAACCCGACCCGTGGGTACCCGCCCACCCATATAATTAATTTTTTCTGTATATTTAATATCCTAAACAACTATTCTTATTTATATTTGTGGAGACATGTCTAATTTTTTCTTTTTAATTGTGTGGAATGAAGTTGATGTTATGGAGTGGAGAGTAAAGAAACTTAATTGAAAGAAAGAAGCTTTCAATTAAACATGTTATTTATGGATAATTTATGATTTGCTTCAATTTTCTTGAGTTTTCTAGAGTGGTGTTGAACAATTTGTATAGTTAATCTGTGATTTGCTTGAATTTTCTAGAATAGTGTTTCATATATGGATAATTTGTATTGAGAGATTGATATTTGATTTTAATTTTGATAAGAACTTGTAATTGTAAATTTTTTACGACAAAACCCGTGGGTACCCATGAACCCGCGGATACCCAACGGGTTGGGTTGGGTTTGAGTTTTTCAAACCCAGTGGGTTTTACCCTGGGTTTTTTTCAAAGATAAACCCATGGGTTTGGGTTTGGCAAAACCCGACCCAACCCGACCCATTGCCATCCCTAATCCCCACACTTGACAGTAAAACGTCCAATGTGCTCCACAGTAAACTGGTCCCCTGTCCTAGTGAATGTGGCAAACTCGGGCACCCTAACCCCCTTGGGAATGGGTAGCGTTTATCCACCCACTCAGGGTATGGTTTTCGATAAACAGGTGTCATGGTGGGTCTCACTCCCATGCCAAATTGCTGGACAAGAAGTTGAGCCACCTGATCCCTTAGAGTGTTGGGATCATGCCCCCCTGCTTGCACCCCTTGGGGTACAAAACCCATGGGGTCCATGTCATGCCCATTGAAATGGGGTGGCATGGGTGTTGGGTATGCTCTCGGAGGAACTTGATCTCCCCCACCCAAGCCTACTCCCCCTCCCATGTGAGCGGGCACCGTATAGGGCCTTGCCACGGGTATGGATATGGGTGGCGGTTCCACTGGAGTAGAATGTGTCACTCCCAGATTCTCACCACGTGTGGGAATTTCTCCAACTCCCACATTGGGTATCCCTTCCACTTGAGTAGTGGCAGGAATCTCGCCGCGACTCATGCGGTGAGGAGTTGGTTGGTTTGTCATCGGCGGAAAGAGGTTATCTTGTCGTGGCTGACTATTTCCGCCACCGACGGGAGATGAACTAAATTTTACAGAATTGTTTATGGGGTTTGGATCCCCGTCATCTAATGACAGAGCTCTAGATTGGATTATTGGTGTGGTTAAAAACCTTCTAAACTCATCAAAATCACTTTTTTTTTCTTATTAACCACTTCAAATAATTGACTTAGACGTCTATCAACTCTAGAATTAAGACAGCCCATTTGAGAATTTACCTGATGAGAAGCAGCTCTAGCCTCCTCCATCATGCGGTGGTTCTCCACCATCATTTGGCGGTTCTCCTCTATGGCTTGACGGTTCTCTGCCACCAGCTTGCGGTTCTCCTCCATCATTTGACGAAGGACCCCCACTGCTTCACCAATATCTCCACAAGGCGTCGCCGTTGGTAGGATCTCTGCCCCACCATTGTTTCCGGCCACCGCCTCTGACACTTGGCCGTGTTCAATGTTGGCCACGTGCTCCTCCACAAAACCAGCCGGAGCGTCACCTTGTTGATTCCTCCGCCTCGGAGCCATCAAATCGAACACACGTGTCCCACCGGGTGTGCCAATTTGTTTTCCCGGCGAGAAAATCTAGATGAACAGAATTGAATTTGCACCTTTGACTTCCAAACAAAATATTGAACAACACGATTCACACCTCTTTGAACAAAGTTCAAACAAGGGTGTTCAATGTTCTTGATGAACTACGAGGCAAACTAAAGTACATTAATTATACTCCTATGGAGGTTCAGTGAGAGCTCCGAAACTACAACTATGGCTACATTTGCATAGGAAAAGGTAAAGATAAAATTTGACAATAGGTTGTCTGGTGTGATTTTGGCGAACCCCTTCTCCGTCATCTTCACCTCCTATTTATAGCCACCAGAAGTAACTGCCTCGAGAAACTGATCTGCTGACGTGGAGTGGCGGTTACCCTCTCAACTACTTCGACGGTTACCCTGACATTGGATGTGTCACCTTCTTCAGTCCTGACCCCCTCCTCTTGAGATCTCACTCCCTGCTCTCGGTATCTCCTCCATAGCTTCGCTTGTCTATAGAGAAAAAATGGCTAAGGCATGACGGAATACCACGTGTCACATATGGATGGGTATTTGAATCACATACATTAAAAATGGCAAAAATACTTCTCCATTAGGAGAGTAAAGAGACCACATGCTCACATGACCCTCTTGTCCCCCTTTGCTATATCATGGAGCGTATGGTGGTGACCTTCTCACCATACCACCCCCTGGTATGCTCCTTACCACCCACCTTACCTCTTCTTGTCTCATCATGGTCATGATGGTGGTGGTATGATACCCTCCCCCCACCTTACCACGTCCTGGAGGTGGCTCCCATATTTAATCCAATATGGAGATACATGGAGCGCGTGGTGGCACGGAGTAATGGGCCAAAAAACTCAATTCTCATGGCCCACTCAATCAATTTAAATTGATATGATTTTTTTTTTTGATCCAAATTGATATGATTAAGTTAGCCTTATAAAGCTATTTAATTCCTTATTTTTAACCGATGTGGTACAAAGTTAATTTTTAGGGTAAACATGAAGAGTTGTGGATTCCTTGGTTCGAGCAACTGAAAAAGGAAATCATCATTGTCGTCTATTTTTCAAGTATCGAAAACGACAGTGTCATTCAATGAAGCAAACAACAAATGCCATGAGGTTACGACATGGGAGTTCCCGTTGGATCATTTGGCACAAACCCAAAGGATAAACATAGCTTGTTGTCGTTTATTTATCTGTTTAGGTCGCAACTAAGCCACTCTGGCAACAAATACAGGCTGCCAAGATCCCTAGCAAAGCTCCAGCAACGACTTGGGATGGAGTATGACCCAGAAGTTCCTTCAACTTTCTTTCACTTATTGGATGGCCTTGGAACATGTCCTCAACGATCATATTGAGAACCTGGAATGTCAGCACAGCCGAAACATATGAGGATTAGACCTTAGTACTGACTCTCCTTGGCAGGAAAAAGGATATCAGAGCAACTGCTAGTCTATGCAAACTCTTGAGAGCAGCTACCTTTAATCTAAAGGCTAGTTACCTATCTTCCGAGCTAACTAACACATCCAACAAACCACCGAGTGCCTAAACAAATCTGTAATGAATGTATGTCTATTTTGTCATCAGCTTCCGGACCAATTCTCATAAGCAACACAAAATTGAAAGAGAATTTGTTCTGAAAGCGGTTGCACTTGCAAGAAAGTAGAGAGCAATATGGTACGTTGAATCTTGCAAAGGAAAGAATACCATAACAACGACTCGCCTAGTCTGACCCAAATAAAACCCAATTGACAAAGGAACCAAGCAAGCAACCCCTGGATAAGCATTTGAAAAATTGTACAGGTTTGAACGGTTCCGTGGCTACAGGAATCACCTTTTCCACATTATAAATCATACTATCCACCCAATATAGTAATTCCTGAATGGAGTAGGCATGTGAAGGTTAGTCATGAAAATTGACCAAGCTGTCAACACAGTCAATAACATCAAAACGAACTACTTTCGTACAACAAGGAGGGCATGAGGTGGGTTTCATTATGGACAACAAGAGCATAAAAGAGGACAGTATTGAACGCAACTGGAAGGGAAACCAAGTGTGGCCATTCCACCTACATGAACATGATACAGTGAAATCAAATTACCTCAGCTTGCATCCCGGCATGGCGTCTGACGCCAATAGCATCGTACATAACTATAAGGCTAAACCCCAAGCAAACTGGAAACAAAGAATCAGCTACGCCATGGCAAAACGCTACCGACGTCGTCAAAGCAGTACAGAGAGCAGAGTGGGAAGACGGCATCCCACCTGATGCAAACAAAATCCTGAAATCCCATCTCCTCTCCACGAAGAAATTTAGACACACCTTAATCGATTGAGCAGCGAACCAGGCCAGTAGACCGGACAAGAAAGTTGGGTTCGCCGCCAGTGCTGCCACAAACGGACTAAATTTGACTCTAGCGTTGGAGGTTATGCTCAACAATGCCAATCCAAACCCACTGTTATGCAAATAATTCCCACCGCCCGCTTCCTTGTCCGCTTCGTGGCTGTAGGATTGCAGTAGAGAAACCCATTTCTTGGTGTGCGAGGAAGTCTTCCCTCCGATCTCGCGAAGGATTGGAACCAGAACCCATGAATGGTTGGACCAAGTACTCAGAGTCGAGGGCTTCCGAGGAGAATCGGAAGGGTTCGAGCAAGAACAGCGGATCGAAGGATTAGTAGAAGGTAAAGTTGCTGTGTACCTGGCGTAAGTTGTGGAGGAGCAGAGATGGGAAACAGAGGAAGGGGGAGAGGGAGAGGAATACAGAGAGAAAAATGATGGTCGGAAAAGGGTTAAGCAAGCCATGAAAGGTGGAGGAGGTAAAGCTGGCTGACTACAGTCTGCAGCATTGCAATTGCAGCAGAGGATTGACTCCCTTGGAGCCGGAGGGATGGGCGGAAGGAAGATGAGAAGAAAAGAAGCAACTGATTGGAAACTGCAATAAGGGACGGTTCCAGAAAGGTTTTGGAATTACAGAAAGACCGCTGCAACTGCCTTGTAGCAAAGATGCAATTCATTTTGGCAAGGATGGAAATGGAATATGCCTTTGGCTAACAAGATTTGTGCTCACACCCCACCAAAGTTGTCAAACCGGTTTATACCAGTGTGCCGGTTAAGTCTAATCTGGTTAGAGGGTTGGGTTGGTTTAGATGATATAACGGGTCACACTATTTTCGGGTTAAATAAGGTTGATTAGAAGATTTTCTCCGCCACATCATCACTTAACAAACTCCTTTAACGGAGATGGACGGCCACTAACGGAGAGTGACCAAATGTGAACGGTTTTCAGTAAACTGAAGTACTACCAATGGATTTAAATATTTCGAGTGACCAAACATGAACGTTTTTTGTAATCTCAGTGACCAACCATGCAATTAACCCCAAAAAAAGTTACAACATTATTAACGATAACATAAAAATGGCTAATGTTTTGATGTATTACGAAAGATTTGGCTAATTAATAGCATTTTAATAGGTTTGGATAATATTAAAGAATTTGAAAAAGGTTTGGATAAAAAATAGACATTATCCAAAAATTAATAATAGCAAAAGTGTTATGTGTTTCTAATAAAGTATGAGATCATCTAAAGAAACATCTCGCATGATGTGGTAATCGATCAAAATACTTAGGCCAACCGCCGAAGATCTCCCCTAAGAATCAAAGCGTCATTTGAGACTTGTGTCTAGGCCAAAATAGAGTTTCTAACACCCCTTACAGCCTGTTTGGATACAATTCCGGAAGAAATGGAAATGGAAATGGAATTCAATTTTTTATTTTTATAGAATTCCATTCCCAATTCTAGTGTTTGGTATAATTCCTACAACTATGGAAATGAATTGCACTTTTAACCATAATGAATAATGTAATATGTTTGTTTTATTTTGGGAAATGAAATATGAATGAGAGAGAAAGAGAGTAAAATGATAGTGGGTCAACAAAATAATAAAAAGTATTGATGGGTCCCACTAATTCCATCTTCATTCTCTCAATTCCTATCACTTTTGATAGGAATTGTAATTCTCATATTTTAGACCCATTGGAATTCAATTCTCAACCTTTTTATTATTCCAAACATAATATATGGAAATGGAATTGAAAATGGAATTCCAATTCCTTACTTTTTTGTCAATCCAAACAGGCTGTTAATAGATTGCCTCTTCGCATGACTTGACAAAAAGTGACAGTTACTTCTACTCAAGTCTTGATATGACTTGTAAAATTATAAACATTCCCTTAAGAAAAATAAAGAAGAGAAAAAAATTGGATTTTTTTTATTAAAAAGTTGAGTTGTTAAGAAAAAAGAAAGTTAAAGACAGGAAACTATCTTATTTCTTGTTTACTGTTAGCTGGATGGACAGGGCCAGCTGGATCCGTTTGTGGGAGGCTCCCATCCCGCCTAAGCTCAAAGTGTTTGTTTGGCAGATTTTTAATCGGATTCTCCCAACAACTGAGGTCCTGAGGCTTAAAGACGTGGATGTCCATCCTAGGTGCCCGGTCTGTTGGGAAGCAGAGGAGACAATGGAACATTTGTTTCTAGATTGCCAGGTCGCTCGGGCCCTCTGGGATGGAATATTTGGGTCAAGGTTTGCCTCGCCATACGTTCCCACTCTTCCTTAAACGCCTGCTCGTTCTTATTCAGCAACCAGACAAGGTTATGGCGGTCATTGCGGTACTTTGGCGGATTTGGCGGTCTCGTAACTGGGTTGTTTTTGAAGGCAAACAGTTCGGGATCCCGCTGATGAGACAGTACCATCAACAGGTGGAAGAGTGGTTACGTTTGCCGGCTGGCTCTGGCTCCCCTGCTAGTAGGCATGCGCCGCCTTCAAGTAGCACTGGGGATGGTAGTCCGGTTATCTGCAGGTGGGATGGGGCAACGCGGTTTGGATCTCACTCCGCAGGAGGGATGGTACTTATGGCTCGGGATGGTGATATTGTAGTGGCCCACGGTGTTCAATTTCATGGTATTGATGACCCGATGGTGGTGGAGATTCTGGCGTTGCGTGAGGCTGTGTGGCGGTGTCTTGCGCATGGGTTCACTCATGTTTGTTTTGAGGGTGACGCCAAGGTGGTCATTGATAAAATTGCTAGGGCTGAGATTGGCGATACAAGGATAGGAGCAATTCTGGAGGAAGTGGTGTCGCTTTTTGCTTTACAGTCGGGCTTTAGTGTTCGGTTTGTAGGTCGTCGTAACAATAGGGTAGCCCATTTGGTGGCTAGAAAGGCCCTTTCATTGTCGCCGACTGCGAGTCGTTTGTTTAATTATCAGACCTGCCTGTTTTCCAGTGTGTAACTATCTCTTTTGGTGATTCTATATATTGAATATCTTTTGTCAAAAAAAAAATTTATTCATTCACATATTATTTTCTATACCTACTATTCTACATCGTAGATACTATTGTTAGACATTTTCTTGTCTCCGATTCAATAGGGTTGTTATTCATTAAAATGAGAGTTAGCTTGGTTTCTATTGCATCTCTAGCTACCTCTGGATTTGATGGAGGATGAAAGTGGATGTGAGGTGTATGCGAAGATGGATGGTTGCATGGAGAAATTTTGTCAAAAAAATAGAAAGAATATGGAAAGATAATGGTGGAAAGAAACATGAAATACTTTTAGTTCTTTTTTTTAAATTTTCATGACACAATTACATTACTATCCTCATTTTTCAAATTCAAGTTTTTAACAAAAACATCATCTACAAATATTACTAAAAACTTTCTTAAGAAGTCGTTTGGAAGTTGCGATTAATTAATTTTTTCCATTTTTTTCTAAAAGCTGAGATATAAAAATCACTCATTTTGAGCTATTGTTTCTGTCACATCACAGAAACAATGCATGTATTGTTTCTGCTAACAAATCAAAAAAAGATGCATTCTAAACAATGTGTTTATAGTAACAATCTCACCAAAACAATTGCAACTTCAAATAACCTCTAAAAAAATGTAACAAACAAAGTATTCAAATAGTACCTAAAGATATAAGGCAAAGTACATCTGTATAGGCAAAATTTTGGTGTTTGTGACAATAATAGCCACTTTTGGCGAAATACCAAACAAAGCCAAAATTGTGAAAATTTCATGACAAATATAACTATTTCCGTTACAAACTTTAACTGTGTTAGAAACTCCATCGGTTAGGTTAACGTTAGGTTGACTAGGATGCCAAATCATTGCACACGTTAGTGACAAGTCATCAATATCATTTCCACGTCAATCTGATATTTTAAAATAATTAATTTTGAAACTAAAAAGCTAAAAAAATGTTTTTTTTTTCTATTCCCACCTTCATCTCCTCTTATTCGAAAATCTCGAATTCACAAACCCTAGTCCCGTAGAGAGCAACCCCAGTCCACCGCCGCGACCATGTCTCACGAACAACTGGTTCTCCACAGCACCATGCACCCCCACACCGATAGCACCATGCACCCCCACACCGATCAGGTGACTGCCATTGCCACCCCAATCGACAACTCAGACATGATTGTCACCTGCTCCCGAGACAAATCCATCATCGTCTGCATCTCACCAAGGACGACAAGACCTACTGTGCCCTTCGCTGTTGCCTCACCGGGCACTCCAATTTCGTGACAGTGAGCTCCGACTCTGGGATCTCGCAGCCGGAGTCTCGGTCGCCTTCTCGATCGATAACCGTCAAATCATGTCCGCCTCGCATGAGACAAGTCCACCAAGCTGCGGAATGCCCTCAGTGAGTGCAAGTATACCATCCAGGACGGAGACGGCCATTCCGATTGGGTGAGCTGCATGCGTTCGTTTCAAGCCAAACACTCTGTAGCTCACCATTGTTTCTGCCTCCTGTGATCATTTTTAGGAAAGTATTGGTGAAGGTGAACAGGCGGTCGTGGTGGAGAGAAGAGATTTTTGTTTTTATTGGTTTTCAATTTTTTTTACTCAGATGGAAAGAGTTCGTTGTGCTCTACAAAATGAGATCAATTTTCAAACCTCTCGTTACCAACTCCATGTCATATGGTAACTCCTTCATTTTTTAGTCGTTTCTTAAAACATTTGCTCATAAGGAATAAGTTCATCATGATCTATTTGGATCTACAAATTTCTGGGTGAAAAAAATACAGGACAAAAAATTTTCATATTTTACCATCCTGGTATGGGGGTGGTAACTTGTGGTAAACAATGATGAAAGTCTTAAATGACAGTTAGTATACTCCTACTATCATGTATTTAACCTTCCTACAATCTTGGTATGTTCATACCATCATGGTACGCTTTCATACTATATGATATGCTCACAGTGGCGGAGCCAGCATTTCAAACCACCTATGTCCTCTTTTCATAAATAAATATATGAATACTTAATTAATAAAATTAATTATATCTGCGTAATTCATTCATAGATTAAAAATAACCGACTATACAATCATTGTTTTTATAAACAACCACGAAGAGATTTCATATTGTGAAAGAAACGCAAAAACATTCATCGTCTACACTATTATATAAGTCTTTTTCAATGTATCTCACTAAATTAGCATTAGCAAATTGGTCGCCAAATTGACTTGGAAACTTGTTTTTAATATAACTCAAAGCTGAAAATGCTCTTTTTATATTTGTAGTTAATTCGTTGAATCAAAACTATTAGAATTGTTGCTATCGCTAGACAATTTCAGGGTTGGAATTGCCGCTGTCGCTAGACAATTTCAGGGTTGTTGGGAAAAAATCGAATAGGCATAAGGAGAAAAGAGATACGATTAGGTCTTTATTGCAATTAGAATTCGTTTATAGTATAATAAATTAATTTTATTTCAATTTACGAATAAGTAATGAGTTGTGTTGTAGTGAAAAAAATACTCTAATACTACCTATATATATGACATATTTTTGTTCCTCTGAAATTTACTCTTGTCTCGGGACAAGGCCCAATGAGCCTCCCTCCGCCTATTTATGCTCATATTCAGTACCATATGGTATTGACTGGTAAAAAATGACTCAATTTTTTTTTGTTCTAAAAATATATCAAAGTGGATATCATTTTAAAGAGCACAATTAATCTGATTTATCTGTGCACAAAAAAAAATTCCAACTTAAAACAAGAGAGAAATCGTTCGTTAAATATTAAAGAAAAAAAAAACTCTCCATGAGAAAAAGGGATGCTAATATCACGCTAATGTAGACTGACTTGATCCGCTCCTGTACGTCGGCACGGGGTCGTGCCGCCCGGTTAGAGCACGACACAAGCACGGACACGAAATAAATGGGCCAGCCCGGCACGAGCACGAATAATTTATGGGCCGTGCCGGGCCTAAACTTCATGGGCAAGGGCACGAGCACGGGCACGGGCACGAGCACGGGCTCGAGCACGGGCACGACTCGGTATATAAGTGGGTCGTGTCGGGCCTAATATTTTCGAGTCTTTATTGAGTATAAGAACGGACATGACAAGAAAATAATATTTATTTGATAGAAAATATATATAAAAAAATATAGATTTAAATATTACAAAATACAAGTGGAAAAATAATTATTTGTTGTTGTTAGAAGTGTCATAAAAATATATACGTAATTACTAACATAAGTAAAAATGAACAAAGAATTAAACAAAGACAAATCACACTCGCTATACTTCCAGTTTTCTTTTTCCCCTTATTTGTTATCTTTCTCAAACACTATCGGTTAATACTATCTTCCTCCGTTCAATTTTCACCTTCCTTTTCATTCTCTCTTTTGTTTTCGTCCTTTTCATTAAACACGAATACGAGAATAGCACGAGCACGAATAGGCACGGCACGATTCGAACCGTGCCCAGGTCTAGGTCGGATCTAACAAAATTAATAAATAGGCTTCCATGGCCGGCACAAAAAATGATGAACCGTGCAAACACGACACGAAATAAATGAACCCGGAGCGTCTTCGTGCAGCGCAGATGTACATCGGCTCCCGACTTAGCTATTTAGCACAATTTCTCAATTTTCAAAAGTCTCGAGCGTCTTTTGTTGAGATCGTCAAACTACTCTCGTCTTTATTCTTTTCGGAGTCCTGAGTCTGACCTGCCTACCCCAAGCACCCTGCAAAGTGCAACCAGCGATCCTCTGAAAGTCGATCAACCCACGGCTGCAAACCCGTCGGTGAATTTTGGGTTTCCTATTCGCTTATTTATCCCTTATCGTCTTCCTCTTATTCTTATTCTTCTTCTTCTTCACTTCCTCCGGAGTGATTCCAATTCTCCTTATACGGACATCTGCTTCTTTTCCTTCTTCCTCCTCTTCCACAATTTTCGGTTTTTAGGTATCGGAAGCCTTGGTTTACCAAGGAAAGGCCATATAATTTGTGTCTTTTCTTCCGATTGGCTGAGCCTGTGTGATCTTTTGGAATCCGGTGCTTTCCATGGAAGTAGATAGCAACAACCAATGTGTGCCGTTGACGGAGGAAGATGAGATCGATCTCCACCGCCGCCATCCTCAATTTCCTCCGGTTTCAAAGTCTCACAGCAAGACCAATAACGGTAGTAGTAACAGCAGCAATACTCTCACCTCGGCGATTCACACCAGTAGCGTACATGAGTTGCTTGAATGCCCAGTGTGTGCGAATTTCATGTACCCTCCAATTCATCAGGTTTGCTCCTACAATCTCCAACTCTCTTCGCGGATCCCTTTTTCTTTTGCTTTGATTCGATTAGTTTCTCAATTTCCCCCAACATTTTCCCCGGCTTCTCAGCTCCTGCGTATGCTGGCTTTTAGGGTTCATATTTGTTATGTACATTGGTTGATCTGGGTTTTACTCTAGCCGCTACTGGCGTGTTCATGCCTAATGCTGGTCAGATGACTTGCTTCCCACTAGAATCGTTCTTGCGATTCTTTGCTGTTGATTTCTAGAATGTGTGTAAGAGTTAAAACAGTTCAACGCTGTCAGTTAGCGCTTGATACCTTTGAATTCAATTTACTGAATCGCTGAGGTTACTAATGCCATATTATCGTCAATAGAACTACTTCCTCGGACTTTTGGTGTTGCTGCCTCTCTACTCGTTAATCTAAACTAGAGAAATGCAAAGATGCCAAATGTCAAGAAGTTAACCTAAAGTGGAAGAGAAAGGGGCTTGAATTCCAGAACTGTTAGGGACAGCTTGTAAAATGTTCTCCAACTTCAACCAAAGATAGAAGGAAACGGAAAAGCATTGTTATGCAATACATATATGCACGCATGTTGAACTTTCTTTTTGTGTCTGCCTAGAAGCTTTTAGTTGATTATAATTTTGGCGAATCCTTGTTTCTGCAGTGCCAGAATGGGCATACCCTCTGTTCCATTTGTAAAACAATGGTGCATAACAGGTGTCCAACCTGCAGACAAGAGCTCGGCGATATCAGGTGTCTGGCATTGGAGAAATTAGCTGAATCCCTTGAACTGCCATGCAAGTACAATTACCTTGGATGTCTCGAGATTTTTCCCTACTACAGCAAACTGAAGCACGAGTCACTCTGCAACTTCAGGCCATACAACTGCCCATATGCTGGTTCAGAGTGTTCGATTGTTGGAGATATCCCTTTCCTTGTTGCTCATCTAAGGAATGATCACAAAGTTGATATGCACTCCGGGTCTACTTTCAACCATCGTTATGTGAAATCCAACCCCCGAGAAGTTGAAAATGCAACTTGGATGTTAACTGTAAGTACAAGTTTCTCTTGTCATCTATTAGATATGATTAAGAATACATAAGCCATGGTCAATACGTAACAAGAATAAACAAAGAGAAGGTGCAGCATGAGTTTTCCTGGTTATCATGAAACCCATAAATCATAGACATCCGCCTGACCTCGGTAAAATTTCCCATATAATGGATGTCTTGATGCTTTTGCACCTGTTTGAAACTAAGCTCTGATTTCTTGCTTTCCTTGAATTAAGGAATCGTGCAACTCAGTGGTAGTTGTCACACGATCTAGAATGTTAACCTGAAGCTTTGTCAGTGGTTCCTTGAGCCGACGCAGTAATCAGTCATCATGATCTCGTGGCTTGTAGTTTATTTAGCTGGAATTTCCCTGGTTATTTCATATCAATCGATGTAGGTCTGAATAGGCTTCTCCAAAAGTTTGCCATTTCCTGCCTCACTCCACTCTGACAGCCGGTGATGGTAGTTGTCTGGTGATAGTAGTCTATTTCAGTATGCAAACAATATTAAAAGTTTTGACAAGATGACATTTGTCTAGACCTTAAACTAATGACAACGATTCTTATAGGATAAGAAATCATAGGTATTCATTAGAGCAAGTAAAGATCACAAATTCTCCGTTCTTTGCTTCATTAAAACTTACAGAAAGAATTGCATGCCCAAGAGTGGTCAAGTTAGGCCTCCTACCCAAGAGACTCTCTTCTAATGAAGGAAACGACTTCTATGCATAGAAAGAGAAAGGGAAAACTGGAAACGTCTTCATTGAAAGTTTTTTGTCCAAGTTTCTCCAAAATGTTGAATTGATTATAGATTGTTTGAAATGAGAGTAAAAAATTTATGTGATATCTGTCCAAGTTAACACTTTTCTTTTTTCCCTTTACTCTTTTCTCTACTTCATGTTTCTTTTCTTGGCACATCCTTTCGCTGCAAGGTTTTTTGTAGGCGTTGTGCCAAGCCTTTGTATATAGTTTTCTTTTGCAGTTTTATCTTAGAAATAATATTGAGTGAGAGAGTCTCATAAAAAGGAAATAATAGTGAGTCATGAGATTCAAATCTCTCACAAACTAGTGGAGACAACAGAAAACTACTACTTTTGGGGTTTAGAGTTGAAAACGCATGAGAAATGTAATGATAAATATACAGGTTTTATCATCTTTGTCGCTAGTTTTTTATAATTGAAAAAAAAGGAAAAGCTAACTAAAGAAGCCCTAAAAATACGCATAATTAATCAAGAAATCTGAATTCAGCTGTAAAACAGAAAAATAAACACGGTGGAACTTACATTTTAGTTAATAAAAAGTATACCTGTCGTTTTCCTTTGTTGTAAGAGACTTACCTTCTCCCTCGTCGACTTGTCTGCTGCTGTTTGCAGGTATTTCATTGCTTTGGCCAGTACTTCTGCCTCCATGTTGAAGCTTTCCAGCTTGAAATGGCACCTGTCTACATGGCATTCTTGCGATTCATGGGGGATGAAACAGAAGCCAGGAATTACAGCTACAGCCTAGAGGTGGGTGGGTATGACCGGAAGCTCATCTGGGAAGGCACTCCAAGAAGCATAAGAGATAGTCACAGGAAGGTTAGGGACAGCTTTGATGGGCTGATCATTCAGAGAAACATGGCACTGTTCTTCTCAGGGGGGGACAGGAAAGAACTAAAGCTGAGAGTTACTGGACGGATATGGAAAGAACAGCACAATCCAGAAGGCATGCCTAACCTCTCTGCTACTTAACTGGCGCACAGTGTTTTGGCTCACCGCTTGATTCTCTTTTCTAATGGAAGATTGCTGGGGCAAGACTGGGCAAAAAAATGAATGTGGTGAGCCTCTATCTCCAGTAGTGTGTAACCGTTTGTGTTCCTGAAGAAGCCTTGCAACGGCTTCTTTGTATTGATGAGTTAAGAATGTTGTTATGGAACCTACTGTATATCTTCCCAAATGAAAGTTGAAACATTGACAACTTCTTCAAGTTTACGCATGTTACTGTTATATTGGCAACTCGTGAAGTTGATCAAACTCGCGATGAAATTATTTGTTCTCACCAGCTGCATTCTTTGCCCTTCTTGGCCTTTCACAGCTTTCTCTACAGTCCATGCTCAGGTGACGACACCCAATTTATTAGCATGGTGTAAACATTAACTTCACTCCATAGAAATATTTTGTTTTCACTCCATAGAAATATTTTTGTTTTGATCACTTTCTATTTTAAGTTGATTGACCACAATTAAAGAGGAGCACGTTTGCCAGTAGGGGACGTTTGTCATTATTAAAAATTGGGAGAACAGTTTGTCATTATTAAAAATATTGAGAACACATGCATGTGTGTTGTATATTAATTGGAGACACAAAACACAAACCAGACTACAAATATATCTAAAAACGTATCAAACCTCACCATACTACAAAAGTCATAAATCACACCACGAATATCAGAAAACTTATAAAGCATTCCACAAATTTTTTACACTCTGTTCCTGAATGAGGGGAGGAAAATGGGGGAAGGAGGGGAAGAAAAACTTAAGGGAAAGGAAATTGGAGAGAAAATGTTGTTTTATGAGGGAAAATGAAAGGGAAAGTGGGAGAGAAAAATATATTGAGAAGTGTGATAGATATATTATTTTATTGATTGTGTAAGAATAAATTTGTCAAAAAATGTAAACATGAATATTATGAATAACCAACTTATACATAACCTACCATTTTTATCCTTTGTTTAGAACATACCTCGTTCATTTAAATCAATTTAATTTTTTCATACAAATTTGATTACCTCTGCAATACGAAATGACGTCCATTCTATACAAAAATTTAACACTCTTATGCCGTTTTACTTGAAACTTAACACAATTTTAAGTTCCACATAAACCTGGCAATCGGGTCGGGTTGGGTAATTTCGGGCAAATCCATGATCTGTAGCCTTCAATATCCAAAGAAAATGACCATTCGTCCCCAAAAAATTACGAAAATTCCATACGAAAATAAATTGGCACAAATCGGTGCTTAATGGACTTATCATCCATGGAGAATAGGATCAATAGACTTCATTATCGTTGAAGAATAGCTTCAGTCTGATTCCGTGATCTGTAGCCTCGGGTTGGGGACTCCGGTTACGGGTCGGGTCATGTTTGATTGGCTTATTTCGGGTTAAATATTGACCCAACCCATTTGGTTTCGGGTCGGGTTACGGGTCGTTTCGGGTTTGAGCGCTCTAAGAAACAATATCAAACATGCTTCATATTTTCTCAAAGAACACAAATTTTCACATATGCAAGACAATAGTTTACCTAACACATATCAATTAACATATTCTCAAATCCTCCCATGCTAATGAAATGAAATGAAATACAAATTGCGCAAATCGTAAAAAAACAATCACAAGAGTAATACTACTACAAGAAACAAATGATATTTGATTATCTTTAAACTCCAAACATGTCATTTAAATCATTGTGTTTTTTTTAAACACCTCGCCTATTTATGAGTAATTTTATCATTTTGGTAGTGATATATAAAATGGAACGGATCTAATGGGTCGACTCGCTAACCCACCCAACCCAAAAAATCACAGGTTATCGGGTTCAGGTCATTCGGATTTCGGGTTATAAAAATTTCTACTTTTCGGGCGGTTTCGGGTGGGGTCAACAGGTTGGGTTGTAATTTGCCAGGTCTAGTTCCACATAACAATTTTATGTATTGTGTAAAGCAACGTTATGTGTGACTCATGTGGGTCTGTCGAACCAGGTTCAACCAATACCGGTACAAGACGAAATAAAATGGTTGTACCAGAAAAGTTAGCACTAGTGTATTTTATGGTGAAATTATAGTTTAACAATTGTTCCACTGTTTCATACCGTTACAAAGTCTGTCGTTTTAAAGTCTGATAGGATATATTTGTAGTCGGACCGTTGATATGGTAAGTATCTACCAACATTGTTTTTAACTATATGTAATATAAAATTTTACTGGAGGTTGAAAATTAATACTCGATGCATTTGGTCTATTTTCCCAATAATAAATATCATTCAGCACCATTAATTATAAGCTTTTTACCACAATCTTTACTACCATCTTCTTCTAATAACTTGCTACCATTAATAAAGGAAAAGAAGACAAATAAAAGGGGAAAGAAGAATGAAGCAGACTGTGGGAGAAAAGAGAGGAATAAGATTGTGTAGAAAAGAGAGGAGTGAGGAGAGGGCAAATAAAAAAATAGAGAATTAATGATTAGTTGATGTTTTCTTTTCAAATTGGGGGTGTGGGTTGAAGAGTAACTCCTTCCCTTTGTCACAGTTCTGACTTTAGAAATAGAGGAAAGTGTCTTGGAATTGCTGCTTTCCACTCATTTCCTACCCTCCCCTCTTTTTCTTTCCCAAATTAACATAGTGTTAAAGCACAACGCAAGTTCCTTGAAGCATACTAGAAACCTCATAAAAGCATACCACAAGTTATTAAAGCATATCACAAGTTCATTAAAGCATACCACAAGTTCCTTAATGCAGACCACAAGTTTCCTGAAGTATACCAGAAACCTCATAAAGCACACCACAAGTTTTTTGAAACATACCAGAAAACTCATAAAACATACTTGAAGTTCCGTTCGGAAAACAAGAAACATTATAAACCAGACCACAAGTTGATTTGCAGAGCAACACACTAATACACCCACACAATTATTTTCTCTTTCTAGAACCCTCCCTCCCTCTTCTCACCTGTTAAAGGTCATCACATATTGGGAAAAAACGAAACAAAGAAGGAGCACGGTTTCTTTCTATCCCATCCTCCCGCAAGAAAACCTCCATCACCGCTAATCGACAACCTTCCCTCTGAATACGACGGCATGACCAGCCTTCCCCCACTGGAGCTGGCCCTCGTCTGCTTGCCTCCGGCTCCATTTTGTCTGTGCGCACCTCGCCATCATAGTAAAGCATATCTTCCCCAGTGTTTTTGGCGTCTCCAACGTCCTCCCGCCATTTTCAGCGACCGGCGTAACAACCAAACACTATCATGCCTCTCCTCCTTCGATTGCCTCTCTCGCGCTCTCTCCCTTTCCACGGTAAGGAGCGATTGCTTTGATTTGGTATTGATTGTAATGGGGATTCCACTCTTTGTGTCGTGATTATGAATAAACACTGGTAAGAGGGAAGGGATATGGTTACTAAAGGAATGGACTATTGATTCAGGCATAATTACACATCTTTTACCCCCTTTATATCTTGATTGTTGGACTTGGTAATTGACGTCCCCCGACCTATTTTTAGTGTTGTCAGAACCGGTCCGAACATCGATATGGATTTGAAAGAGATTCACGATTTATCGGCTAACCGAAAATTGACCGGTAAAACTGGCCTAGAAAACCGGTATAACATAACAAAAATTAATAATAATATAACCATTTTTTATATAAACTTCACTAGAAATACATAATTCATATAATTATTTTAAATAAAATGTAATAGACTACCAAAACATAAACCCAATTCCCTCTCTATTTTTACGGCTTAAGTTAGGGTGCATAACCTTGGGGTGCTTAACATGAGTAACCAAATCTGGACCCTTCCTTTTAAGTGGGTTACATATCTAAGGGTTGTGTATTAAAAGCATTTTATTTTCCTAGTTTTTCTTAATCGGATCATATCTTCTTCATTCTAACTTGGATTTCAATTTTTTTTTATTGCACAGATGGAATGAGTTCGTTGTGCTCTACAAAATGACCACGTATGGAGTCCTGTAGTATGGACTAACAAATATAGTAACGCTTCTCGCAACTACATATGCATGAGAGCAAGGCAGGTGTCTCCCTTGAAACTTCCCGCAAGTACACTCTCTTGTTCCATTCATTGCATCCAATATAACTGTCTGAGCATTACCACCCTTTGAACTATCTGGTGACCTTCTTGTTTCTACTGCGAAGCGGGAATCTCTTCGACTAAATAAAGTGGTCTTATGCCATTTTGCCCTTTCCGACCATGGTTTCATGTCATCCATAATCTTCTTTGGGATGTAGATTCCAGGATTCAGCATCTGATATGTTGCTTGGTAGCGTTCAACGAACCATGTCACCGTACCAAAGAAGGTATGCAAGACTATAGATGATATTGGCATTGCACGAAGACCAACATACAAACCATTGAGGCACTCACCCATGTTCGTTGTTGTTATGCCATACCTATACCCTTCATCTTGATGTAGCGTCCACCTCTCAAAAGGATGAGTTTCTAGCCAATCTGCACCTTCAGGGTGGACCTCCCTTATTTTCTTCATTTTGTCTACAACCTTTCGAGTTTGAAAAGCAATAGCTACAATAAAGAAAAATAGGGTTAGTAAAGGAGCAGAAGCATTCAACCAATTGAGTTAATGAAACATCTTATTTGTTCTTAACAGGGTACCAAACTGCATGTTGTCCAAAAGTTCTACCAAAGTGCTTCCAGTAATTGCTTTTGAAATATCGTATGCACCAGCGCCACTTCCACCCTAGCTCCTCGGGCAAGTCGTACATTGCATGTGCAATTCCATGGTGTCGATCAGAAAGTATGGCAATGTCCTTCGATTGAGTGACACGAGTGTATAGTTGGGGGAAAAACCATGCCCAATTTAAGTTGTTCTCTGATTCAACTATAACAAAAGCAAGCGGGAAAAGTTGCATACTGTCATCAACACTAGTGGCAACGAGTAGAGTGCCCTTGTATTTGCCGGTCAGAAAGGTGCCATTAACTTGGATTATTGGCAAACAATGGGTGAAACCATCAATGCATGGTTTGAATGCCCAAAATAGTCGATTAAACACACGTTTAGCCCCCCCCCCCCCCCCAAATCTTCGTAACTAGGCACAAAAACATACCCAGGATTCTTGTCCACCATTCCAAGAATCAAACGAGGTAGGTTAGCAAATGACTCTTCCGAATCGTCATACACCTCCGCCATAGCTTTTTGCTTTTCATGTCATGCTTTCTTGTAACTGATGGTATAGCCATGTCGATTCTTCACTTCAGCGATGACACTCTTCACAGTGATCTCAGGTT